CTCTGTTTCCTCCTCTGTTAAACTGAAATGAGAACCCAGCTAACTTGGGGAGACATTTGTGGGAATTACACAAGGTAATGTATGGGGAAGCAACAGATCAACTCCAGAGATGCAGACTGCTTTATTTAGCATTGCCATAGATGACTTACAGTTTTCCAGAGAATTAGAATATAATAAAATAGTCTTAAGCACTAATCTATGTTCCATGACTCAGAAGATCCTTCAGGAAGTTACAAAATCTCAAGGTCTAGGGTCATGATCATGAACAAAGAGTAATTTTGTAGGAAAAAGAAAAGCTCTTCCCCATGTGTATTCTTTGGCTTATAAGATCCAAATTAAATAGGAGCATATTGACTGTATTGAGCCCACAGGGAATAGTGATCGCAGACTCTAAGCTCCTCGTTTTACAAATGAAGCCAGTGAGCCAATGAGAAGCCCAGCAGCCTCACCAGAATCACGTGTTAATTAGTGGCTGATCTGGGAATAAAATTCACACTGTGACTCCCAGAGCGCTTTTCATCACAAATTTAAACATAATTCAGAAAGTCTGAAATGAAGGTCACAATGTCCTGATGTGTATGGCTGCCCTTTTGAAAATGGAATTGGAAAAATTAAGAATGTTTAAGAGCCCAGGCAAATGTATCATTGAAAGGTATCAGGACTTGACTCCCAGGCCGGCCAGATAGCTCAGTGGACTAAAGTGCTTGCTTAGGCAGAGCGCACCTGTTCAATCCCCAGTGTGCCATGCTGGCCCCGCCCTGGGGTGCGCTGAGATGGCAATTGAGACTAGGCAGGGTGGCACATGCCGTAATTCCAGCATTTACAAGGCTGAAAACACGAGGATCACTACGAGTCCAAACTACTTGTAGTTGGGAGACCCTATAGACCCTGTCCTCAATACAGAAAAAAAAGAAAAATACTTGACTCCCCTTGTAAGAAAAAGTGCAGTGGGCTTCCTAGTAATTTTCTTAATCATAGTAGTTCACATCCGTCATACAAAGTTCTTCCCTAATGCCTCACATTACTTGGCATTAACAATTTTGATCTAAATGACCCTCACAGGTTTGTTATATGCACAAGTAGTGCTATCTTAGGTATCAAATATTTCTTTCTTTCTTCCTCTCTCTCTGTCTCTGTCTGTCTCTCTCTCTCCTTTTCTTAATGATCACTAGCATTATCTCCTTTAACTTCGGTGAGTTAAAATTGCAAGGGACAACTGTAAAACAAGCTGTATATCACACCCTCATCCTGCCTGTACAACTTCTGTCCCATTAGTGGCTGTGAATCACGTGACCCATCAAAACCAAGCACTGGTGAGCACCATGGTCAAGCAGCTGTGAAGTGACGCTTTGCTCCTGGTAGAGTAAAAGCAGAGTCCCACCTACACCTCCCTGCTCTCCTCGCCCATAAGTTTATTTCTCCAGGGATCTGCCTTGCTAACTTGAGAAAGGCTGTAAGGATCTGTATTGGATGTAAGAATCAGTTCACTCAGGTTTTTATGGTATCCTGAATAGATGTTGAAAACCAGTCCCAATTCTGAGTCTGGTTGAGGGGTGTTTGGATAAGCAGAGTGAAGGCTAAGAACACAGATTCTAGAAGCATATACCTCGATTATGATCTCAGCCCTCATCGTGTTCTAGGGCCATGCGCCCTTGGGAAAATTCCATCAGTGTTTCTGAGCCTCAGTTTCCTAATCTGAACCCCAGTCTCAAATGCATGAACATGCAATTAAATGAACTGATATTTATAAAGTGCTCAGAACTATGCAACGTGCATAGCAGTGCTTCTTAAACGACTGTTAAGTAAATTCAATGGTCCCGGTTAGACCAGAGTCCCCTCTAGGGGTATAGGCTCTGTTCTACTTAGAGTTAGATGCTTTAGCATGCAGGCCTTAGAGGGTCCCAGGTTTGAGAGAAAAAAAAAATGTTTTTCTTCAATTAGAATTGCAGAGCACATTCTATACCACAGCCTCTTTGTTCTATTGAACTAAAAAGGAAGCAGCAGCGGGACTGACTCCCAGCACAGAAGTGCATCTGACCTCTTTCCAGCTCGCTGAGCTGTCCACCTCTCTCGATGCTAATGCAAGGGCAGTGGCCGATCAATTCATTGAGTGGCCCAGAGCAGGTAGCTTGCTCCATCTTGATGGCATCTGTACAACTGCTGGGATTGCCCCACATTCCCTGGAACTCGCTGGTGGGTCCCTCTTGTACACAAGCGTGGAGCCTGCGGCCTCGGGTTCTGGAAAGGGGGTTTCCGCCAGGGCCCTGGTTGCTTCTAGGGCCAAGCTGTGGGGGAGATTAATGGGAAGTGAGAAGAGAAACTGTTGTTCTTAACGGCAGCGCTGTTTGGAGTATGTGACTCTTCTTGTATTTAGGGAAAAGATTACTCATGAGTATTTTCTTCCGTAGAATATAAAGAACCTCAAATTACTACTTGTGCCCCCACCTCCTTCTCACCGCCTCCCTCTGCTTCCCCGCGTCCCCTGCAGAAACTTCAGCATTTTACTTTCGCTTCCCCTTCTCAGCAGGATTCAGTTCTGTATTCACTTTGGTGCCTGTACTTCCACACAAGCTGCCCCGTGCTTTTCCCTGTTTCTGTAATGAGCACCCTCTGTCCCATGGTCCTGCCACTGCTAGGTGCTTTCCTGGGCCAAACTTGCCTAGCATCTCCTGTTGTCCCTTAAGGGCCACTGCAGTCCTGCTCCTCCCATGAGGAGGAAGAAGAGGACAGACATCTGCAATAACGAATCACTGTACTCGCCTGCTCTCTGACACCACAGTCAGGAGGAAGTAAGCTTTCAGGTTTTGGCTGCTAGCTGGGCAAGGTGGTGCACAGCTAGTAGCACTAAAGAGGCTGAGGCAGGAGGATCGCCATGAGTTAGTTCCAGGCCAGCCTCAGCTACATAGGGAGTCCAGGCCAGCCTGAACTACATAGCGAGACCCTGTCTCTGGGGGGGAAAAAAAGTGAAATGAGATTGGCTGCTATACCCATTAAAACTTTAAAAAAAAAAAAAATTAAGGGCTATCTATCCCAATGGCTGATAGTTCTTTATTGGTCCCTTTCAAGATGGACTAGTTTTGAGAAGACGTCCAGAGTTGGAAGAAGCCAGTTTACCCATCTTCAGAACTGTGTTGTAGAGAGGCTGTGCTAGGAAGACAGGCAGCAAGCGTGCCCAGAGCCCTGGACAGTCTCCGGGGGACCGGAGCCACGTGGCCCCCACTGTAGCACGTCAAGCACATCGATACTTTGTCCTTCCTAGTGTTATGTGAGAGGTAATTCCTTCCAGGAATGAAGCTGAGAACATGTTTATAACACATTCCAGGGTCTCCCTAGGTTTAAAGAATTTAAGTTGAAAGACAGGAGCTCTTCCTGACATACACTGATTCCACTGTGCTCTGTTGGAACTGTTGCTTCTTACCACTTGATATTCAAGACTGGAACTCTTTTGAGCATCAACCTTCTTCCTTGTGGTTCTTAAATTACTGCTGTTGGGACTTGTTTCATTTCTGGAAAATTATTGAAATCTCCAAAGAGCTTTTGTTCACATAGGTTGTATCTTATCTAATTTTACCATTTTATAAATTCAAACTGAGAATTTCAGAGTATTCCTTAACTTAATGAAAAATAATAAGCCATTTGTGAGTGTGGCTTGTAATTAAATGAGTAAACCCCAATGAGCTATATTTCATCCCCAGTCTTTTGGTATTTTTGACACAAGATCAAAACTGTGCATGCCCTCCAAAATAATGGCGCAAAGAATAGCAATGTTGTCCATGTTTACAAGTCTCTTTAACACCTAGCTTAGTGAAGGTGACTAGATTCTCTTGAACTATTTCTGCTTTCAGCTTCTTGCAACATCATTTATCATGGGCCGGAGAGATAGCTTAGCGGACTAAGCACCTGCTTAGGCAAGTGCATGGACTGGAGTTCTATTCCCAGTACCTCATGCTGCACTGGCCCCATACCCAGGCACACTGAGTCTGGAGAGTCTGGGCTTGGTGGCACACCCCTATGATCCCAGCGCTCGGCAGGCTAAAAACAGGAGGGTCACTATGAGTCCGAGCTGCGTAGTGAGGCCCTGTACCAAATACATTAAAAAAAAAAAAAAAAAAAAATCACTTCCCATGCTCAAAGTATAAGAGCAAGAAAGGCAAATAGTCTCTTAATGTTGTTATAAAAAAAATTTTACATAGACATCCCACAGAGATCTTGGGAACCCTTGAGGCTCCTGGGACCGTGTCTTGAGAACTACTTTTCTAATTCCTTGAAGGCTATATCAAAGATTTCCCATGGTAGCAAAGCACAATAAAAATGTAGGCTTGTAGTTGTGATGTCACTCTGGCTGACAGGATCAGGTTGGTAGGCTGTTGACCTGGTCACCCCTTCAGCCTCCTTTCTAGGCCTCCTCCAGCCCGCGTTGGTCCTAGTCCATCCCAGCACCCCCTCACTGGGATCGCTTAACATCAGCAGGAGGCCTCTCATCCTTACCTTGCCCTCTTATTCCCAGAGGCCAGCTGATGCTTTCCCAGAGGCTGAGTGAATCGCTCTTCCTGGAAGAAGCTTCAGGGAACATTTCATTATTTGGCAGCTCTGGAAGGTCATGGCCAGCTCTGGAACATTCTCACTTCAGAAAGACTCAGGCTACATCAGGTCCACGCTGATTCTAAGGTCCCAACCAAAGCGCATAGATTTGTCAGGATTCTGGGCCCCGTGTGTGTCCCAGGCTTGCCCCTAGGGCACAGCTCTAAGACCCATTATCCTTAGACACATTTTAAAAGGTATGTTTTTCTCCTTTCTTTTCCCTCTAACTAAAAAATTAATCTGATAGCATGTTTCAGCAGTTATGAAGCTAGAGTTGTAACCTGGGATTTAGAATTGAATGTAAGGGCTGTTAAGATGCAGCAACCTGATTTTGTTAACCATTTGGAGATCTCCCCCTTGTTCCAGCTGACTGATGAGACCTTTTTTCTCTTCCTTTCACCTCGCTGTCTCCCTAACAGGCTTGCAGCCAATTTACTGGAGCAGGGATGACGTAGCCCAGTGGCTCAAGTGGGCTGAAAATGAGTTTTCTTTAAGGCCAATTGACAGTAACACGTTTGAAATGAACGGCAAAGCGCTCCTGCTGCTGACCAAAGAGGACTTTCGCTATCGATCTCCTCATTCAGGTGAGCACCTGCACCCCGCTGCTGTGGGTTCCACGTGGACAGTCTGCCCATGGCCAGTCTTGGACACCACTCATCCTGCACCAGGAATCTGCACAACCACCGGGGACAGGGACAGTTTACCAGCAGGAAGATCTCACTGACCTAAGCAGCTGAAGGGGGAAGGAAGAGCTTTCTCCAAATGTGGGTGGAGTGTTACGGTTGGGAGAGGTTGGCCATTTTTTACCTTCTAACCCTGGAACTTGAGTGATGTTGTGCTGCCACCAGAGAAACAGAGAAACACCATTCCTGCCCTTTTTAGCTACCTGAGAGTTAGTGTAGGTCGGGAACTGATCAGTTAAACAAACTGACCATAGGTGGGTGTGGTGGTACACACCTGTATCCCAGCACCCCGAAGGCTGTGACCGGAGGCTGGCCACGGGTACAAAGCCAGTGTGGGCTGCAGAGTGGGTTCAAGGGTAGCCTAAACTACATAGCGAGACCCCAGCTCAAAAAATAAAAGGGAGAGAAAGAGCAAAGACGTGGATATCGCTGAGTAAAAGAACACAGAAAGGAACCCAGGGAATGTGGGAATCCCAGTAGCCGAATTGAGTTTAGAAACACTGTACACCCAAAGGGCTTCTAGTAATTTCCTTTGAAAATACTGACTGCTTTGAAGTCATGTATATTGTAGCTTTAGAGGTCCTGAAAAATAGAAGGAGTTTCCTCAGGCCCACCTAAGATTTATCAAAATATGGGCTCCTAAGAGCCCACTGGATAAGCATTTGCACCTGCTGCAGTGGTGCTGCTGCCATCGATAAGCCTTCAGAAAGACTTCTGGGTTTCACTTCTCTGCCTTCTGGCTGTGAAGTAGAAAGGTATCTGGTGACTGCATGTCAGAGAGGAACTTTGGTCTCTGCTTTATGCCTCTTGAGGGATTAGTTACCAGAACACCAAAAGGTCCTCGTCCTGTGGAGTCTCATTGTAGACCCTGACGTTGAGCATCTTGGCAGAGTCCCCTTTTCTCCTTGGCAAAGTGCAGACACCCTGCCTAAGACATTGGCATGGTCCCTAAGTGCACAAACCCTCATTTACCCTGGAAGCCTGCCAGCAGCTAATAAACTAACCCTCCTGGGGAAACAACCCCACTACAGGGGTGAGGAGAGCCTGTGGAGTGGTATCCCCCTGCTTTGTCCAAGCACAGCAGATGGTGCATAGAAAGAAATGCTAACACAGAAATGTCCCTCAAAAGTATAGATAGATGTTACTGAAACTTTGAAAGTTTATATAGCTCTAAAAGCAATTAATTTTGAAGTTTGTATCAAGGATACAATATATCAGAAACATTTTGGCTCAAGTCATCTCAAAATCAGAAAACTATAAACAAGTGTATGAGTAAATGAAACTTTCCTAAATAGTTCCTTTGAATTGATTGCAAAATACTTCCCTTTTCTGTTCTAGTGGAAACCTAAGCAGTGTTACATTCAGAGGCCACGTTACAAGGCTAGAGGCAAAAACCCCTAACTCTTTCCGTGCTCCAGTGAAACCAGCTGTGCAAAGCAAAGCCAACGAAGGAAAACCCAGTGATGTGTTTTGACTTGATTTGACTTAGCCCCCGGGCGAGCTTTGCTCTGAGTCTGTGAATTTCCCTGCATCATCTCTCAGGTGCTGCACGCCATTGTTGGTTGACTTTGCTCCCCAGGGACCTCTCAGATCTGACGTAATGAGGTTCTCTCTGCTCAAAGCTAGGTGAAGCCAACCGCTTTCTCAGCCCTTTTTTCCAATGGGCCATGTGGCAATGGCCCTTCTCCTGGGAAATCACTGTCTAATTAGAAAGATTGGACTGCTTGGACCCTTCAGGTCCAAAAGAGCCGGACAAGGGAGAGCCAGTGTGGCGAAGGTCTTGTGAGAGGAGGAATAGAGTTGGGCTGGAACATGAAGGATGACCCGAAATGAGTTACAGCAGGTACTCAAGCAGTGATTTGTGAAAGAGGGAGGAGGCCTGGGCCGGCCTTCCTGTTCAGATGTGAGGTGCTGCAGACCATGGTTGGGGCAGGCAGTAGAGATTCATGCTGAGTATTTATTCAGTGACTAAGGCAGGGGTACAGCAGCCTGGGTTTTATAGGTAGGAGAGGCCCTTTCTAGCAGGATCGTCAAATGGCACTCAGTGGTATGGTAATGGAGCCTGACTGAGAAGTCAGAAGAAGCTATAGGGTGGTTTGCTGAAGAGGAGTTCGAGATAGGGCTGTGAGCTCTCTGTGAACCACTGTCTGCTGACCCTCCCAGCACTTCCTCGTTCCCCTCCTTTGTTCATTCCCGCCTTGCATTTCTAGTCCTGCCAACTTTCTTCTGGAAAGCTTCACTTCCAGCCCTGCTCCCCTGCTTCTCCCCGCCTTCTCTGGTCTCCTCCTCCCTCCTTCTGGGTTCAGTGCTAGTCCTCTCTCCTTTTACCCCAGAGCCATCTCTGCTTCCGCCATGGCTGTGATACACAAGTACAGCACACATAGTCATATTCTATGTGTTCTTCTTCTCCTAGAGTAGAGAATTCAGGGCAAGCAGCAGCGGTATCCTGTTAAGCTGCCCTGTCCTGTACCTAGCACAGGACTTCATAACTAATTGACACTTGATAAATATTGGCCAGATTGTCCAGAAAGCCCTGGGCAGAGCTTCAAGGTGATACTGTCAGTACAGGCCGCAAGAAAACTCATGACAGTGCAGAGGAATGTTGTCTAAGAGTCCAGAGGTCAGAACCAATGGGTGGCAGAGAACTGCTACCCTGTGACACAGCCGTGTGGCAGGTGGTGAGGTGTGCCGTTGCCACTGGTGCTTTCCTTAGGGAGGAGGAAGGTTTCCATGGAAAATCATTTTTTTTTTCTCAGATGAAATATTTGCCTGTGCTTCCTCTGATGTGGGTTTTCTGCTTCAGCAGTTTGATATAACATGTCAGGAGGCCTGGGCTCCACACCTGGCCTGACACAAATCACATCACTTTCTTTTATTTTATTTTTTTATCCATAAAGTGGGCTGTTCACCTTGTGGAGCTGAGTTCCCCGCAGCTCTTCATAGCTTGATCCAGATTCAACCCTGAAGCATCCTTAAGCTTCTAGCGAACATTACAACCTGCCACCCTGCAGACAGTGAACAAATACCAGTCCCCTTCAGCCTAATCATCTTATAGAACTTGACCCCCCCCACACACACACACACCTTGGATCTTTTTTCTGCCTAGGGAGAATCAAGAGTAGCTTCTCACAGCTCATGGCACTGCTAGAAGAAAGGAAAGAGAAGTATCTGCTTACCCCATCCTCGCGAAGACATGTCTTGCTCCCAGCCTCATTTCCTGCCTGGTTTCTCCCAAAGCTCTGCTCTCCTAACACAGTTCATCTCCAGTGTAGCGAGGAGAGAACTAGACTTGATGCGTTGTACTTACCTGAAATATTAATGCACCTTACGTTCACATACAGTGGTCTCTCTCAATGCCATGTGCTGTGTTCATTGGCCAATTTAATCAATTAAATTTATCCACCCCTAGGACAAGAGTCTTCTTTGTGCATCACTACAATAAAGCAGGGAACACTTGAAATGTGCTTCAAATAATGATATGATCTCTAAACAAAAGCGTTCAAGGTTGCAGATAAATGGAGTACTTTCTCTGAAGTCATCTCCCAATAATACAAGATGCAACTTTAAAGTATTTGCTAAGCTGAATAATAAATGTAAAAAGATCCACATTTCATACAAAACCTCACCTGGGTAGAATAATTTTACCTAATCCTTGAGCTACTAGTTGCCACATTAAATGGCTCTGGGTGATTTAAATTTGGAGATATTTGATTACAAGGTTACTGGGAGACTCTTAAGAAAATACATTAATGAGAGGAAATAGATTAATATTTATTCTTAGAGTTATAACAGCATTTGGATGGAAATAAATTTATATACCCACTTTATATGAACAAAAACCTCAAGTTATTATCAATTTGTTCATGCTGTGCTCTCTGTGCTTTAAGGGAAGATAGAAATATATTTTTAAATTCAGTTTTTTAAAAAGGCATCAGGGAGTTCCTAAATGCATTGAAAATTGTAGGTATACTCACATTTGCCCTCTTTTAGTGTACTGTAGTGATTTTGCAAATGATACTTTCCCTTTCCAACCCATCAGAGCCCTTATCTTTGGAAACATGCTTCACTTGTATTCTTTAAATATAGTAGAATTCCATTTTCAAGTCAAAGACTGAAAAGATGAATCTGTCTATCTATGGTTCCTTGGACCGATTTGCCTGAATTTCTGCTAAGCTTGGTAGGTGGTTTGCTAGATGGAGTGGCTGTCCACTGGCCTCATGAGAATGAAGTCAGAGAATCTGAGGATCCAGGTCACAGAAGGGGACCCAGGAATGTGGGAACTGACCCTCTCTAAGGACACCGCCAGTCTACTGTCTCTGTCCTTCATCTTTGGACAAATAAAACATGAAAGTTAGAAGCCACCACACATCAGAGAGATGCTTAGGGAAGTCATTTGGTGGAAAGTCATGTACATCGTTAGCACTTCCCTGGACGCCTTTGTGAGGCGGTGGTGACTGACCCCATCCTTCCTTATGCCCACATGACAGACAAGTGCTGAGCCCTACTTGTAATAAAGCACGGAATCATTTCACGTTTCTATTTTCTCAAGAGCTTATTACTTAACCTTATTCAGCTACAGATAACTATCTTATTGTTTGCTAACTAATTTATGCTTCTCTTAAGCATAATGTTCATGTTTTCCCACATTGACCCTTTTTCTCAGGATCTCTAAGCCATAAATATGGAGGTACATTTCAAATATTTGTTCCTAAGTCTAGTGTATCTTTATGCTCCAAGGATATACTCCATTAAATAAATGTTTGTAATTTAATCATGCTATAGAAATGGACTGAATGGGATGCCTAGAAACTAAGACCAAGCTGAGTCACATCTCCAGCGTCTCGGGACAGGAACAGGCATGCCTGAGCCTGCAGTCACGTGGCTGCCTTCACTGTTGCTGG